AAAAAAAAACTGAAACACATATGACTGTCTATCGGAAAGTATTTTGTGTATTTATTTGATTGATCTTAACGTTTGAAGAAAATGTAAGGTAACTATAGAAAAAAATCTAAAGTCTGAGATCGATAATTACATTCTAATAATATATTTTCATACGTTATACGAAAATAAAATCCAAAATGTACATAGAATGTTTTTTGAAAAAAAACTGAAATGTTGTTATTTAAATAAAACTTATTAATAAAAATAAGTTTATTTTTCAAAATTCTTTTTATCTTTAATTCCTTGATAAAATCCAGTATGATATCCCGCTAAATACCATGACATTAATGTAGAAGATAGAGCATCATTATCATTATTGGGATTTAATATTGGAAAAGGAGGTGGAGGAGGTAATATATCATGTTCATCAATTGATGATAAACCTTCTTGTTGTTGTTGTTGTTGTTGTTGTTCTTCTTCTTCTTCTTCTTCTGTTCGTATTTGTAAATCATCTAATGAATGAATTTCTTCATTTCCATAATCATCAAATAAAATATTACATGTTAATGATGATGATGATATATCAATTATTGTAGCTTTATATAAAAGACCATCTTCACTATATGGACATAAACATAGATCACCAATTTTCCATTGAATATCTTCTAATGGTAATGATGAATTTTCTGCTATTTGAACATTATCATTTGATGAAACACTTTAAATAAATCAAACAATTATTTTAAAACAATAAACATTTTTTGTTTTTTGTTTTTTTTGATTACTTTAATTGAATTGTTGTTGGTTCTGTTGAAATTGTTTGTTGTTCAATAATTTGATTAAGTTTATCAGATGAAATTGCTTTTGCAAAAGCACGACATAAGAATAAATCATCATTAGTTGGATTTGATACTTTTACAATATTACTTTCATTGTTCATCTAAAAATTAAATAAACTTAAATACTCAAAACTTTAGTCGATTTTAATATTCATTTAATAAAATTTCGAATGTCAAAATGACATTTAGGAAAAACACAAATAGTTGAATTTCCCTTTGACAAATAACTTATGCTTTGGATTTCGAGCGTAAATGTATTGAATCAGATTATGATAAAAGTAACAGGTCTACTTCGAATATTCGAAAAATAATAACATACAACTACATAGAGATTTTCAATTTTTCAAAATTATTTTTATCTCAAAATGAGTTTTACAAGGCCAAACAAAAAGAATCTCATTTTAATATTCATACTTGTGTTAAATGTATTTTTATTGAATTTTCATATAAAATTTGTAATATTGTGACCCATTGATCTTTTATGTGGTTACTCTCATATGAACTAAAGTCATTGAATTCTATTGGTAATAGACGAAAATTTGTTCGATGCAAAGATCAAAAACTTGTATCTGTGTGGGAATTCAAGCGTATATTGTATTTTCAAACAAATAAAATTTGTCTTATGATCCACAAAAAAAGAAAATATTGTGAAGAGTTTATTATAACAATATGGAATAAAAAGCGAATAAACATAAACCAAGAATCACGATACTATTTCGCTTGTCAAAATCAACAAAATATAAATCTGAATTAATTAAATAAAAACTAAAAATTAAATTTGATCTCTATAAAATTGTGCTCGATCAGAATCAATTTGATTAGCTAATTGTTCTAAATAAATTATTCTTTTATCATTTTTTATATTTTTTCCTTTCCATAATTGAGATAAAGCTAACATACACCATTTATTTCCTGGTTCAATATTATCAAGTTCTTCTAATGGTTTAATATGTTCATCTTCATTAATAAATTCAATTCCAATTTGTTTAAATAATAACCATCGTGCATAAAACCATGCAGCTTGATCTGAACAATCTGTATAAAAAGCATTTAAAACAAGTTGCCATTCATTTGATAAAAGTGAAGAACGACGAGAAGGATTATGATCAAGAAGTTTATCTAAATATTTTGAACGATAATGCCATGCTGAATAATTTGATAAATTAACACCAATTGTTGAACGAAGAAAAGATAATTCATTTTCATAGAATGATTCTAAATCAGATGACGATGATGATGATGATGGACAAAGACGTTCTAGAAGATAATAACGATATGCCCAACAATGAAAGTTTCGTTCATCATATTCTATAAAACAAGAAAATTAAAATTGTATACAAACTGCATTTCAAGGTGTCAATTCAATAAAAATATACACATTTAAATAGGCATGCAACGAATCCGAACTCTAGCTCGGTATTTGAGACGAATGATTCCCAATCGGGTTAAGAAGTTCAGATAGTGTTGAGAAATTGCCCAAGAATTTCTTGAAGTAATCATAGAAGCATCCTAACGTTTGGTTAAGTTATGTCTGTAGACCTTCGGCTTTGTATTATTTATTCCATTGTCTGTCGATCTACTATAGCCAAGTCTAAAATTCTTTTTTTCTGTCCTAAGTTCAACTACCTTTTATTATTTTATTGAAAATGATCGCAATTAAGATCGAACCAGGAAGTTCGGATTTAGTAAAACGACTGTTGCTTCTCAGACGGATGCTCCCCCGACAGGGTTATGAGTATGAATGTGAATGCCCGTCACTTCTTCACCCACACCCGTGTCGCAAAATCTATTCATAAAAATATTTTATTCTTCGATCGGTGAGTATTTATCGATGAGATTTTCTCTTGTTTCTGTATTATATAAATCGAAGAATTAATTTCTTTTATTTATATCTAATCTGTCTTTGTGTAATACATGACTTTGCTTCTTGGTGTTTATGAGAAATAGAATCTTTGAGTTTCAATCTTCATAGAATTTTTTACGTTAAATAATACATTTTCGAAAATCTATACAAAAAATGAAGTGTTCAACACTTATTAGTGAATAAAGAGTTCTCGATCATCTTCGAACTACTTAATATATCTCAAAAAATTTTTTAGTAAAAGTTTTTCCAAAATACTGACTTGAAGAAAAAAAAAAGTAATGGATTCTAACTAGAATTTCGAGAGCTTTGAAAATTTAGATTCATAATTTTTTCTTACTGAATTTTATTCAAAAAGCATAATGAATTTTTTAAGAATGTTCTTCTCTTTTTTTAGATCAAAAACTCAATTTTGAGCTGTCCATACGATATGCTCTATCTGTGGTAAAATTCTCAGACTAACCGATTGTACTCTCTTCGAGAACCATAAATGGTCAAAAAAAGAGGAAAAATATCCTTAAAGATGATCGTGTTTTTTTCACCAACCTAAATATTTTTTACATAATTGTAATTCATTTTGATAAAGATTTAAATTAAATTTATCTTTTAATAATTTTAAAACCCATTGTCTTTGATACCAACATGAATAAGATTTAGCATTTGATTTCAAACATATTTGTGTAGTTTGTAATTCTTTTTCTAAATATTCTTTTTGTTGATCATCATTTAATTTAAGTATTGATTCTCTTCGAATATTCCAAAGTGTAAAACAATCCGGATGATCAATAAGAACGTTTTCTGTTTGTTTTAAAAGTTGAAAACTATCAAGTAAATAACGATTATTTAATATAGATTGATATTGTGTTAAATATAATTGAAGTTTTTCTGCTCGTTCACGTTCTCGTGCAGCTTTTTGTTCAGCTGATGTTCGAATTTTAACTTGTCCATGAACAGACATCTACAATATTAAATTAACTTACCGTTATTTAAATAATTTTTTTCAAATGTAAATCATAAACAAAACCAAAAATGTATTTTATTTCTTATTCCTTTTTCTTTGATGTTTTTTTTTTATTATAATAAAAATCGAAACAATAATAAACACACAAAAATATTCGAACAATATTGTTCCATTGTGTATTTGTGTATATATTTTATATTTCGGATTTTATAAACGACGACCACGACGACCACCTTTTCGTCGAGTACTGTCTGAAGGAATTGGTGTTACATCCTCTGTTAGTTAAATAAAATAATTACTTTAATTATATAAAATAAAAAACAAAAAAAAGTAAACAAACCAATTCTTCCAATTTTAAGACCTGATCGAGCAAGAGCACGAAGTGCTGATTGAGCACCAGGTCCAGGTGTTTTAGTTTTATTTCCACCAGTTGCACGAAGTCGAACATGTAAAGCAGTTATACCTAAACCTCGACAACGTTCAGCAACATCTTGTGCAGCTAACATGGCAGCATATGGTGATGCTTCATCACGATCAGCTTTTACTTTCATTCCACCTGTTACACGAGCTATTGTTTCTCTAAATAATTTTTTTATTTATTTTTACATATTAATTAATAAATAATATTCTAACTTACTTTCCTGAAAGATCAGTAACATGAACAAAAGTATCATTAAAACTTGCATAAATATGAGCAACACCAAAGTTAAGTTCACCTTCAGCAAGTTGTGGACCTAAACTAACTTGTTCTTGTTTAGCTGCTTGTTGACCTTTACGTGGACCCATTGAACGGTTTTTTTAAAATAACGGATCTTTAGAGAAAGATAATTATCTATAAAAGTTAAAAAGATTTTTTTTAATTTTATTTTATTAAAACATAGTTCAACAAAATAACGAATATTTATAAAAAGTAAGAAAACATACGAAGCAAACAAGATGACTCTTATATTCATTTAATGATCAATTCGTTTCCACCAATCATTTAACAATGTAATATACTATTCAAATATTTTAATATTTTATTATTTTCAAAAGTCTTCTAGAAAAAAATTTCTAATTCTTTTGTTTTTTTATTATCTAAAACATAATTTTAATCTAAATATTTGATGTGTTAAAGATGTCACTAGTAGTCTAATTCATAAACAAAACATTTCAATAATTTATTATTTTTGTAAATTCTGAAAAATTTAATAAATTATATTTTAAAAGAAAAATTTTACCATTGAGTCAATTTGATAATTTGAATGATAAGATACTTTATAATTGGTTTCAGTTAACCAATAGTTTATTAACAGAAAGGAAACAATGGCTGAAAAAACACGGATGAAGGGCATTCTTAAAAACTAACACTTCAAAAAAAAAAAAGGAAAAATGTCATCATCAAATGAGAACATTGTTTTATCTGCTATTGGAACTCGAACAATTTTAAATTTAGTATGTAAATTCTTATTTCGTTTTTTACATTTTATTTTAAATGGTCTTATTCTTCGTCGAATTGATGGCAATATTATTGGAATAGCTAATGTACGTCTTCAATTACTTTATACAACAATATTATTTCTATCTCGTGAAGCATTTCGTCGTACAGTACCGAAATTAAATCATGTACGTTCAATTCATCATTATATTAATTTAATATGGTTTATTATTCCAATTGGTTTAGGAATAATATTATTTGCACTTCCATTAACATTATTTACTAGAACAGATGGTGCAGAAAAATATCCATTTTATTATCAAGCATGTTCATTTTATGCTCTAGCTGCATTTATTGAACTTTTATCTGAACCATTTTATTTATTAGCAACTGTTACACTTAATTATCATATTAATATTTATATTGAAATGTTTGCTTCAACTATAGGTAAACAATTTTATCTCATCTAAATCATTCTTGAGAATAATACCTAACACTTTTCGATCGTCGTTGTTCGTAAGAAAACCAAGTCAAAAGTGATCTAAGTATTTCTATAAAATGTTGAGAGATTTTAGTAATTGATTGCTACAATCAATATTAACACGATCAAGCATACAGATATGATTTAGAAAGTTATGTTTTCTACCAGGACTCGAACTCAATATGCTGTTTGAAATTGTAGCTCTAGGTTGAGTTAAGGATCAGATTATAATAATATGAAACAAACATTCAAACAAAAACAGTCATTTATGTAATTATCTTGTTTGAACTATTAGAACTTATTTCTATAATTTATCATCTTTAATAATTAACAGAGTTTACTTTTTAATAGAATTAGTTTTACGCAGATTAATAATATACCGTCGATTCTAGTCGTAAAACTCGAGGTAAGAATTCGATGATTGTGAAGTAGGGGACAAAAGTTTAGAGCACTTTTAATATTTTATTAATTTTCGGCTATTAAATACTTATTAAAAATTCATTTATATATGATTCGATGCAGAATTGAATGGGCTATATTTTGGTAAAAAGTATTTTTCAATATTATTAGTTTTAATTAATTAATTTTCAACTTTTAAGTATATTATTAGAAAGAGCGTTAAAAACTGAACAAAATAGTATATTACTTTTGACGAAATAATTCATTTTAGTAGGATTTTATTCGAAGAGAAAACAATTTAGTAAATTTGACTGGTATATTGTATTGTTTTTTTAATATGGTGGGACTCTATAATGCAATTTCAAAACTTAGACTTTAGTGTATTTTAAAGAGCAGACTTCACACTTTCGGATGAGACCAAGATATCTTCCGAATAACGCGTTATTAAGTCGGTACAACGCTTCCAGTTTTCATGAGCAATTTCAGTAGTGTTTTCTCGTAGCTTCCGACTCTTTTTCGTGGGTAAGACGCTTTGTTAAACTAAAACCGTTGTACCGACTTAATAACGCGCCATTCCGAAGAATATCTTGGTCTCATCCGAAAGTGTGAAGTCTGCTCTACAAAATACACTAAAGTCTAAGTTTTGACGTTGCATTGTAGAGTCCCATCATATTAAACAAGCAGTACAGTATACTAGTCAAATTTACTAAAATGAATTATTTCGGCAAAAGTAATATACTATTTTGTTCAGTTTTTAACGCTCTTTCTTATAATATTGAAAAACACTCTTTACCAAATATAGTCCATTCAATTCTCCATCGAATCATATATAAATGGGTTTTTAATAATTATTTAATAACCGAAAATTAATAAAATATTAAAAGTGCTCTAAACTTTTGTCCTCTACTTTACTCATGAGTGAAGTAGCAGAGACCGCAATGACAATAGTCAAAGCCTAAAAGGATTCTTGCCCATGAGTTAGTGCAGCCGACTTATGACCATTTCACTAGGTTTTCCATCTCGGTCAAGGTATTAGTAGAAAAATCACACCAATGTCCTAAAGATTTCAGCTAAGACGGATGGTCTATCCTTAAAATATTAGATGACTAAAAAGAACCATGATATATCTCAGAAAATTAAACAATTTTGAAAATTTATTATCTCAAGGATAAAGCATTCGTTTTTGATGAAATTTTTAGGACAATTTGATTTTTTCATAAATGCCTTGTCTCAAATCGAAAACCCACTGAAAATGATCATAGGCCGGTTGGAACAGTCTATGAACATGAATCCTTTTAGACATTGGCTATTGACATTGATGTCTACTTGTGGACAAAATATGAGCTCGAAGTCGACCTTTGGATGTGTGCATTCAAGTTATTACCAGTTTTTTTTGCCTGTTTCCTGCTTGATATCTACATGAAATTGGACGTTGAATTTATTGATCTGGATTATGGTTATATTATGTCTAGATAATTATACTTTGTATTAGTTTTGTCTATGATAAAAGAGAATAGTTTTTTGTATTATTATAATTACACAAAGCATATGAGATTTAAGAAATTCTACACTGAAATTTAGCAGTAGAACATACTCAGGAAACTAGACAAGTGCAGAGAGTTGCGATATCTCCCGTATGAAGATCTTTCGATTGATCACGATGAAGGAAATATAGACACAGATATATCTCAGAAGTGTCAGTGCGGGAAAAAGTGTAATGAACTCGTCTGTTTACGGATAGTTTGGCACTTCTCTAACATCTCCGATTTTCTGTAAGAAAAGTTATATAATTCATGAATTAGATATGATCGAGAAATAGTTTGTCCAATTCTTTGTAAATATTATATCATTTTTGAAAATTTCATTCTGGAAGATCTAAACGTAAATGTTTTTTTTATCTTTTTATAGGATTTACAATTCAAGCAATACTAATATATAAAAATCGTGAATCTGCACTTTATTATTATGGTTTTGGTTATATATTATATTCATTATTAATAACATTAAGTTATTATATTTATTTTTTAAGTCGTAAAAAAGAAGAACGTACTCGGTTATTTCTAATATCATCATTTAAAGATTTAATTATAAAACCAACACATCCATATACTGATCAAAAATTATTAAATGAAACAGTAACATTTTTTTGGCAAGGAATTTGGATGAAAATTTTAACTGAAGGCGAAAGATATATTATGTCTTTATTTAATCTTATTTCATATAAAGATCAAGCTATATTTGATACAATTAATAATTTAGGTTCACTTTTACCACGTTTAATTTTTTCAACATTAGAAGAAAGTGCTTATGCTTATTTTCAACAAACATTATCAAGAACTAAAACAACTAAAGATCAACATATTCAAGATGATCAAATGTTAGTTCATGCAAGACAAGATGATCTATATCATCAGGAACAATCATCACCATCAGGTAGATCTTAATCACAATTTTTTTCTTTCTAATAAATAAGTTAAAAAGGATTTATTATTAATGAATTTTTCCATTCAACATTTTAAATCAATCAAATATTGAATAGTTAATAATAAGAACAAGAATATTTCAATAATATCAGTTAAATTTTTTTCAAACAGAGATGAAAATCCTTTATTCAAATATGACAATTATCATTATAGTGAACTACCAAGAATCCGTGCATACTGCACGGCACCGTTTTTTCTTTAACGTGCAACCTCAAAACTTTAATCTTTCACTCGGTAACAGACATACAAACACTCGACATTATCTACATAGAAGCTCTACTGCCTTATATCCTTATGTCGATAACAGCCCATTTAGCCTTATGGACTTACACTCTTATATTTCTTGTAGCCTTACGCGCTTATAGCCCTACCATCTTATAGTCTTATCCCTTATAGACTTATTTGACCTTTGATCCAGGAAAGAGAAACACACACTGAACATTATATATATATAGATTACACAAACATTAGAGAAGAAGATAGGTAGTTAACTGTGTATTTGTCTTGAGAAGAAAAAGAGTTTTTAGGTTCCTATTGAATCTTTTTAAATTAGTCTATTTCATTGAAAAGCTAAAAATAAATTGATCATCTGATGACAAAGACAATATTATTTAAATAGTATAGAACTATTCTGACTAATTGAAAATATTTGTTCAGTATAAACTATCGTATTTGTTAAGAGGAAAATTTAGTCTAGATTTTATTATTTGGTAATATTCTTGAAACAAGTTTAGAAGATAATAAGATAATGAATATCTCAGCCTTCTAAATGAAATATTCAGTTATTTGTATAGATCTGATAATCTTGCTTCGATAATTTTGTTGTTTGTAAACAATGATTAAAAATCTGAGGATAAAAAACTAAAAATGAATATAGTTGTTTTTGAAAAATAAAACAAAATATTATTTGTGAAAGAATAATAATTGAAATAAAATATTAATTTAGAACAAAAAACAATAAAATTAAATGCATTAACATTTTATAATTATTTACTTCGTTTTGTGATAATAATATCATTATTAGTGATAACATTTGCTATTCCATATAGTCGAACTCTTCTTAGTTTATATGGTGGTTCAAATTTAAGTCAATCTTCTGCTCCATCACTTCTTCGTTTATATTCAATATATATATTATTTCTTGCTATAAATGGTATAACAGAAGCATTTTCTCAAGCAACAATGTCAATAAAAGAATTAAAAAATTATAGACATTTAATATCAATATTTGCATTAATATATCTTGGAATATTTTATATATTAATAATACAAATAGGTATATATGGAATAATAATAGCTAATTGTTTAAATATGTTATTACGTATAATAACAAATACATATTATATTAAAAAATATTTTGATGGTATTTTATGGTCAAAACCATTTCAATATTCATATTATTATTTATTAACATTAATATTAACAGGATCGATTTGTTATTATAGTGAACAATGGTTTAATAATATATTAATACATTTATTTTTAGGAGTTTGTTTAGGTTTTTTTATGTTAATATTAACATGGAAAGAAGAAAAAGAAATGATTCATTATATTTATTGTATAATTAGATTAAATCGTCAAAAGAAAATTTCATAAGAAAATAAAATACAACGGAACTTTTTTTTTTCTTGTCTTGTTTATTTTTAGATGTTATATAAAACAAGTGAAGAAAAATCTAATGAATATAATTCAACAATTGATCAAGAAAATGAAAATCAAGGTGAAATAATTGTATCACGTAGTAGTAGTCAATCAATTCAACATCCATTACCAGATAAACGTGAAGCATTACGTTTAAATAATTTACCATCAACAACATTATGTGCATATGTTAATCATAAAGTAACTTTATGTAAACCAATAACACGTTCAAAAGCAATATCATGTGCACCAATTACATTTAATCGTGCAACACAAACATTATTAGATGATCAAACACCACCAATTAGTTTATTACCAATACCAGTTGGACTTGTTACACCATTACCATTAGCTTTAGGTACAACTGATTGTCCTGTACCTGTACCTATACCAATACCAGTTCCATTTCCACTTTTTTTTGTTGTTAATGATCAAAAATTTCAAGATTATGAAATATATTTACAAAAATTAAAAGATATTTTACCAACAAATGATGATGATTCACAATTATTAGCTTATGCACAAACACTTTTTCCTAATGATGATATTCTTGGTTTAGGAAAATTTAATCCAAAGGTATTATTATACAATATTTTTCTTGAAATATTTTCATCGACTTTTAAATATAGTCTAAACAATTCTTAGAATTCAAAATCATCTTCTTCAATTAGAATCCTTTTATCATAGATTAACAGTTTATATATGTTTATTAAATTTCAAACAAGGTCATCAAAAGTATTTATTGCCTTCTCTGAAATCTATACTTCATCTTCAATAATCAATCAATTTCGTTTTCTTAAATTATAAATCATTTTGTATTTTATGCTTGATTCCGGGTGCGATTATGGAAATTTTCTATAGATCGGCATTGAGCCATACTCTAAAAGTAACAACCAATTAGGACTTATTCATTCTAAGATCATCACTAAGATTATCTGAGAGTATCATAATAGTAGAATTCTGAGTAACTATTAGATTGACGAAGGGGACCTGTCCAGGTGCTAAAACCTTTTGAGCTCAAATTTTTCTCACAGATAGGAGATGTATCTATAGACTAGAAGAAATCTAAGCAGATATCGACCTTTCGAGTAAGATCAAAGTTTCGAGTTTTGATCTTGAACTTTACATCCATCAAGGTCGATATATCAGCCAAATCGTAACTTGTGTGTATATCCTCTTAGGTTTCTTCTAGTCTATAGATACATCTCCTAACTGTGAGCAAAACTTGAGCTCAAAAGCTTTCTAGCATCTGGAGAGATTTTCTCGTAAGAGAAAAAAATTTCATTGAAATGAGAAAGACGGATAAAGTCTGGGTCGAAAAATGTTGAACCCAACCTATACTAATCTAATCCATATAGAATATATCTCTCACAAAACGATCTTCAATGAGACCAATAATATATTTATTTATTAATTTTGAATCTTTCAGAAAATTGAAGCATCTTTACAATATGATGTAATATTTTCTCTCATCTCCTATATCATCGAAAAAAATTTCTATGAACATTAGGCATTGAATAGTGAAGATTAGGTTATTGTTAACGTCAATATTTTTGAATAATACGATAAGAAACTAATTATTTACGTATATAGCAGTTAGATGTCTGTTGAATTGAGCTTGTTCTAAGTCAACATTGAATATAAATAATCAAATAAATTGACTCTTATTAAATTCTTTGCATCTGATTATGATTAAAATTATTATAATGAAGTTGATGAAATTCATTATGAATACGAAACATTTAAAATTCTATTGAAAAATTGAGTTTCGATTGGAAACAAAAATAAAACATCAAAAGAAGAAAATTTCAACTCGATAGATTTTAATAATAATTGTTGACGAAGGAAATAAATTATGAAGGTGATTCAGTGAACAGAAATTTGAATAAATATCTCTGATTTATATAGAGTTCACCATTGGATGAAGTTGAAGATGCTGACCTTCATATTGTTGGACGAGGATCAAATGGAAATAATCAAATTGAACAAGAATTAACAGCTGGAGATAATGTTTTAAATAAATTAGTATTTGAATTTGAAGATTTTGATTTATCAACAATGGCATTAACAGGTGGTGAACAACATTTAAATACAACAGCTGGAAATTCACCTGAAAAAATTGAATATTTAATGAGACAAGAAGATGCAAAATATATTCTTAAATGGCATTTTGGTGTTAAATTATTTCGTGCATGGATTGAAAGTAAAAATAAACCAATTAGACAACGATTATTTCAACGTAAGAATTTTTTAGTATTTTTTTCTTTTAATTTCTGATTTAAATTTTTGTTAAAATAAAATAGAAAATGCACGTATTAGAAATTTATCATCATCAAATGATATTGATAATAATTTATCAAAACGTCTTTATCGATCTGATCTATTATTATATCGTGCTGATGAATTAAATACAGGACTTTGTCTTTTTTTAAAAGAAATTCGTGATTTATATGATGGTGATTCAATTTATTATCTTTGTTTGGGTATTCAACATTATTTACGTGAAAATCGTTCATTATCATCAACACGTCGTTTAAATCAAGGACATTTTTATCGTACAGAATCAATTTTTTTTGATTCAACATTTATTCAATTTCAATCAAAACTTCATTCAATACTTGTTCGTTTTTGTCATAGTCGTGATCCATCACGACCATTATCAATGCGTGGACCAACATCATCAAATATAGATGATCGTCCATCACGTATTGAAGAAGAATTATTATGGGAAGCTAAACAATTAGGTGCACATACACCATGGGTTTTATTAAATACAATTTTATATTTCAATACAAAATATTTTTTTCTTAAAACTGTTAATGAACATCAAGTTTTATCATTTTCAAATGTTAGAAGACATTATAAAAGAAATGTTGGACCACATGGAGAAGAATATGGAAAATCGGTTTATTTAAGGTTTGTTTTAGAATTAATCATAGAAAAGTTATTTCAATGAAGTCAATCAAACCTTACTCTGACCTTCAACGCGAAACTAGGACTAGAACCTTTTTATTTGACTGAAATTAAAAGAACTCATCTTGTTCATGTCGAATGAGTATCCAATAATAAGAATATTAACTCTTTCAGAAACATTTTCTCAGCCAAACAACGAAATTTCTTTGAAACTTTATGTTTAATATCAACGATGTGTATTGTTAATATTTCCATCAAAACTTTTAAAAAAATCTTTAAAGTCCTTTTCGGGCCATATCCATATTTTCCTACAGGAATGGCGAAGAGGTATTTTGGTTATCCCCGTAGGAGGGTACGGATGTAGGCCAAAGTTTGATAGAGAGCTATCGCAAAATCAACCTTTAGAAGTCACTTCTAACTGGATTTCAACGTGAAAAATCGAAATATTTTGGGGACCTCAAGAGGACATTATTCACACTTCTCCTAAACGCAGAAGTCTCGCTCATGGCATAGAACAAACTGCATCTCGATATCTTTTTTGCGTTTGCGTGCTATTCAAAAATTAACAAACTTTAAAAAGTGTATAGAATAAAGTATGTTACTCCTCAAAGGGTTATAGGCGTTTATCAGGCATTGACTAAATAACGGGACATATGTAGCTTTGTAAAGGTAGACTTTCTCTTTTTAAGTGCAGCTATTTTCAAATTCTATTGCATTTCGTAGAAACGTTGCTAGATGGCGTCATCTTCGCTATGCCTATGGGAAAAATCAGCGAAGTGGCGCCAGCTAGCAACATTTCTACGAAATGGAATAGAATTTGAAAATAGCTGCAGTTAAATAGAAGAAGCCTACTGTAGAAACCTACACATGTCCAGTTTTTTGATCAAAACCACCGTAGAATTTATAAACGTCTTTAATCATTAGGCTAAATCATGGTACTTTGATATGGCCATATAAACGAATTTTCGGAGAATAATTTTCATTAGTAAAGAAAATTTTATTCTCATGAAATGTCATAGATTTAAAAAACGATGATTTGTATTGAAGGATCAACGAATATAATTGTGTTATTGACAATAAATGTAGCTTTTTTATTTGATTTACTTCATTGTTAGAAAAGGATTCAATTATTAAGATCCAAAATAATCACTATTCAATTATTGAATAGTTGCCTCATTGATCATACTTAGTGAATATCTAAAAAATAAATGTCTCTATAAACAGTAGCACGTTTCTCTTATTTCATTGATATTAATCTCGTTAGTATAATAGTTAGTTTTTGTAAATTTCGAAAGAATAATCCATAATTATATAGAAATAAATAAATCGATGTCTGCTATCTAACAAGCACCTACTTTTTTTTTTAAATTTATAAAAATCAAACCAAAACTTAGTGTTATCTATCCGAATTCTTTTTACACAAAGTACAATTTACTCTGTATTCGTATCAGAGATGTCTATAGCGGCGCGGCAGTGGCAGCATTTTTTTCGAAGGCATTGGAAAAGTGCATGAATTTAATAGGATTTCAGAGTTTACAAATGAAACGCCCTGAGATTCAACGAATCCGATGGATTAGTGCCAATATTTCTAGTCAAATACAGTCGCAGCAGTGAAATTAGGAACGCTTCTTTGAAAACCATCGCGCCAACTTTTTTTTAATAAGCCATCAGAGCGCAGCAGGATCAGATTTTGAGCCGCGGTGGACATCTCTGATTCATATATGAGCAGAGAATATTTCATATTGTATTGGGTTAAATTTGAATAATAAAAAAATGTTTTGTCTTGATTGACTAAAATGTAATGAATTAAATAAATAGATATTATCCACCATCAACAACAATTCATGGAATGGAAGAACAACAATTAATCTATGAACAAGCTGAAAATTATGATGATCCACTTCGATGTCCAGTTAAATTATTTGAATTTTATTTAACAAAATGTCCTGAAAGTGTTAAATGTCGACAAGATGTATTATATTTATTACCTGAAGCAACATGTGTACCTGAATCACCACTTTGGTTTTCATCTCAAGCATTACCTGCTTCAACAATGGATCATATGTTAACGAGAATAAAAACTGTACGAGATGTTAATGATATTCATTTATCAATGAGTCAAACATCATTTGATAATAATAATAATCAAGGACGATCGTAAACTTATTTTCTTTGTATTATATTATTTGTGTTTCCTCTCTTGTATCCCGTTATTAGTTTGTAAAAACAAAGTTAGACATTGAATGTCACATGTCGTCAACTTATGTTTTTATAGATAGAAGAAAAAAAAATGTGTTCGTTTATTGTTTAAAAGTCACATTCATTGTCATTTTGGTTTTTCTCTCATTATGTTTTGTTCATCAAGAAAAAAAAAGAGATTGTATGTATTGTATCTATCAATTTTCATTTATCTTATTGATTGAACTACAACAATTTCAATATACAGGGTGCATAAAAATGTTTTTCCAGGGGGTAACACTGTAATTTCAAACAGCATACATAACTAATTTTATACCAAATTAAAGCGCGTCGAAAATGGAGTTTTTACATCCTAAATTGTAAGAATTATCAAAACCTTTTGATGTCGAACTTAAGAAATTATCAGTCAATGTATAAAAAAAACTTGCAGAGTGATTTTTTCCCTTTTACATCAATTTAAATTGGAATCAAGATAGATATTAACTAAGTTTTATGAAACTTCTTCCTTAAAAGTATATTATTATAATAAGCATATTAAAAAAATCTGATGGAGAAAAAGAAATTTCATAAAAAGTAAAGGAAAAGCAACGACACGAGAAGAGACGAGACAGAAAAACGATAAAGAAATGATTCATTTGAAAGCTATAAACTTCATTATATATATATTGAATTTTTTAGTAAAAATAGCATGAATATAAAGATATAATGTCTTTATATACATTCTATTGTTTTATTAGATAATAGAATCGATATTAAAATAGAAATTATAAGAATTATCTCTGATTCCATGGGAATTGCCAGCATATCTACAAGTCGAAATGGCACGATAGATGCAAAGAAAAACTACGTTTAATAATTTAAAGAATTATTCAAGCAAACGATATGTCCCTGTCTCTTTTTTTTTCTTTGAGTGTCTTTGCTTTGTGAAAAAGCATCAACTATATTTTTTCTTCTTTTTGTTTTTTTATTGTCGTATATGACTTCATTAGTTTGATAGTGTATAGCATTCAAGTGCATTCTTTTCGTGTTTGCTTTTAATATCGGTTATAATAAATACTTAGTTAATCTTTGTATTCATGTATTTTCGTTGCTAATATTTGTCCGTATTTATCCTATTTGAATAATTTATCTACATAGAAAAACAATTTTCAATCAAGATAATTTCCATAGTAACAAATTAAAATTTTCATTACAGGTGAGATTCTGTAGGCACTCTCTGACAGAGTAATATCTCAGTAATGTGAAAAACTTTTCTAATGAAGAATTTTACTTGAGAAAACTAGCTTTAGAATGATGAATTTCACGAAATTCGCAATAGCTTATATAATGACTCACATATGAGAAATCCAAAGTAAAGACAGTGTTTTGTATATGTAAGGTGCCGGAAATGCAAAATTCGAGTGAATCTTTTTTCTCATTCATTTATATATGGTTTGATAGAGTTTGAAAAGCTGATCATGAATATATATTTTTATTTCGATTGGATCACTATTTCGCTGAGAAAAACGGTATGAAAGTTGAATATCTACAAATGCATTAAATGTAACAAAACGCTCGCTTTTTTACGGATAATGTGAAATTTCAAAGACATTTATTTTGTTAAACTATTTTAAAATATTATATTCGGAATCAGCGTACAAAAATACATAGAACCACTTTTATTTCAGAAAAACAAAAAATTTTATGAAAATTTGGCCTGTAGGGGACCCCAGGCAAAATCTTTATAAAATTCTGCTGAGGAGGAGTACAGGTCATTTTTTCGACGAGAATAGTTTTTGCTAAACAATATGTAGTTCTATGTATTTTCGTACGCTGATTCCGAATATGTTGTTTATTTCTCATTTCTACCGAGCTATAGTATACATTTTGACAAAAAAGTGACTCATTTTTCATTCTTACACCTGATCTTACCACCAAATAGAAAAAACCTTTGATATTCTGAAGATTTAAAAAAGATTTTCGAAAAACTAAATAGGTACTTTTGAAGCTCACGATGTGGCGATTCTATTGAGATAAGTCAATTGCTTCTATCTCTTGTTACAGAAAACTAGATAGGTTTGCAAGAACACTTAAAAATAAGCAATCTACGATATAATCCAGCTATTATGTCACACAAGATTTTCAAACGTTGTTTAGTCTTGAATTTGATCAAATAGCATTTTCTTACTCAGTTTTTCATGCTGATTCAGAATATAATATTTTAAAATAGTTTAACAAAATAAATGTCTTCGAAATTTCACATTATCCGTAAAAAAGCGAGCGTTTTGCTATATTTAATGCATTTGTAGATATTCGACTTTCATACCGTTTTTCTCAGCGAAATAGTGGTCCAATCGAAATAAAAAATATATATTCATGATCAGCTTTTCAAACTCTATCAAACCATATATAAATGAATACGAAAAAAATTCACTCGAATTTTGCATTTCCGGCACCTTACTTCTGTCCTATTACGTTGAATTGATGTCGGATCGGTATCCACGATCAATATTTTTCACTATACACATGCAACAAAATCTCAAGTCAAAAGCTTTTAATATCGATAAAGTTCATGAGGATGGAAATTTTCGGACTATATTGCACGTAAAAGAGAAGTAAACACTAAAATGGTTCATCGTTTTCATGTTAAAACATCACAAACATCAATTATGAGACTAATAGTGGTTAAATTTTTAAAAAAGTTGAATTTAAAATAAATTTTATTTATTGTGAATATTTCTTACAAATTGTCACAGAAATAACATCAAAAGTGTAAGGTATTATGTCATTTTTCGAATCACTATAAAATGGAATAGCAGAAATTTATGCAAATAAGTTTTAAAGTTTGGCTTATCTAATGTCTTATTCTCTTAATGAAGCAGATATTTCGCGTTCAAGCTTTTAATCAACACACATTATGTTAACAGCTTTTTGTTTTAAATTTCTCCATTTTCTATTTATTGTTCAATTCTAAAACACATATTTCATATTATATAGAACCAAATAACTCGACCAGTGTTTTATCCAATGGGTAAGCCGGAGGTATTTTGCTCCCCCGAAGACCATGTCTGCCCCCCTCCCCTCCCGAGAAAAACGAAATAAATTTAAAAAAACAAAATCAATATAATTTTCTAAAACTATCTTTATGAGAGTTTTTTAAAGAAGCTGCTAATAAATATCATGTTGTTAAAACAGAACAGATTCATTTTGCTTAATATAATCCGACTATCACATATCATTAATTTCAATCACATCAGAATTATTACTGTGCACATCACTGCTCTCAATGTGACGAAGTCATAACAATTTTTCTCTGTTTTCTCAAAATTCAAACGAATAATTCGTCACATCAGATTAGGGATTTACCGAGCCCGAGCCTCTCAGTCTCAGTCTCGATCAGTCTCGGTCCTCTGGATTTCGGTTTTTTTCGATTTGTCTTGCATTGTTCTTTTTGTCGGATGTCAATGATTAAAAGATCTTTGACTTTGATGACATTAGTTTTGTTGAATTTGCTTTATAAAATCCAATTTTGAGGAGAAATCAATATTTGTTCATTAAAATGATTCGAACAATGTAGAAAAGTGTTTCAAGGATGCAAAGCGAAAAGAAGATAGACACAATGGTAGTCTCTCCAAGGTCCGAGACTGACCGAGACCGAGCGCTGATCGAGACTGTCTCGCCCGAGAGTCTCGGACTCGGTACGTCCCTGCATCAGATCATTTCTATCGGATAAATAATACTATACATAAAATGATGTGAATGTGTGTAATTTAACAGGAAATTATCAATTATTGGAAAAAAAAGTAAAACTACATCGTTTAGCAGTTTGAATTATATGATAGAACTTTAAATTGTTCTTATATTTTTGATTATTTTTTGTCTTTGACTGATTCGGTTTGTTTTTTTTCTTGTGATATATTTATTGCTTGCTAGTTCTTTGTATATTTTGTGCATATTTTTCGAATAAATGAAATAAATAACCTTTATATAACTTACAAAACGCAAACCTTTTTAAAGCATGAGTGTAGTAGACTCGTTAACACTCATGGTAGTTCGTCCCTTCAACAATATTTGCCTGTCCTCCCGACAACTGAATTTACCCCTCCAGAGTGAAAAATCTGGATAAAACAGTGAATTCAACTTAGAGCTATTATTTTGAAATTTATTTATTTTTCCTATAAAACAACATTTTTTACTATTTTTTATCAGTTCTGTGTTAACATATGTGATTCTTCTTGTGCATATATAAATGCGAGTCTTTTCAATCAAATAGGAAATGAATTCTGTCTCTATTTTAATACTTTTATTCTATACAAAACAATTTATTTTACATAAGCATTGATCATAAACAATATTTATACATTTGGAAAATAGTCTTTTGCATATTCAGGAAGTCGACGACCATTGAGACATAAATAACGGAGTTTTACACAATTGATTCGTGTTGCATCTCTTGTAAAATTGTATGTCACTCTTTTCAGTTGTTCAAGATGAATGTTAAGATGAACGGCATTATCCGGTAAACATATTTTCGTATGAATTAGAAATTCTTCAATATAATCATCATGAGCATAGTAAAATGTGATATTAGTAAGATCTGGATATTTAATAATCGAAAAATTTTCATTGTCATTCTTTGATTCTTTGCATAATTTATTATTTTGTGGTTCGGAATTTCTTATAGACAATACTTTAATAAATGGAAATGATTGAGCAATTCGAAGAAAAAATTCATGTTCAAAAGGATGTTCATCCTCTAATGTTATTTCACGAACACATTTAAATAATCCACCGAGAAAATTACTTGTTACTATATAATAATATTTTCATTGGTCAGGATACAAATAGACATGACAAAAATTCCATTCTCTTTCTTGAAAATAATCAACATAAGAAATAACTTGATTATCTTTAAAATCTCTGAATATATGTTGGATATCTTCTTTTGATGGTAAATAAATTGGATTCCGAGAAATGCCTGAACAAATATAAAATTCGAATCTCTTTAATAGTGGCATATGATTAATAATATTCTGCTTCAATTCATTTTCATTAATAAATGTATTTTTGATAGAAACAATAAGATTCAAACTGAGTTTTTCCAAATTTGACATTCGTTGTAGATGTTGTACAATTAATTCATCATAACCATCCGTCGGCATTTCAGAATGTAACGAAAAACATCTTAAATTGGGTAATTTATCCTATAAAAATTGTATAATGAATTTGTTCTAAAAATTCAAATATTAACTGAAATAATCTACCTTATTATTGTTTGTTAAATCCAAAGAGGAAATGTACTTAATATCAACATGAAATGTGTGAAGTTTATTGAAACGTCCATCAAGTAAATAAAGACAGTCGATGAACCTCAACAAACTGATATGCAATTCTAAAAGAGTTGAAGAGTTAATAGTTGGAGATGGATTGTGAAATAATAATCGTTGATACCAAATTAAAGACGGACAAGAAATTTAAATATTGTAAATTGGAGCACATGGTAAAAATATGTGTGAATATACGTGTAGTCACAATATTTACATCGTCTGTTGGACCTATTGTTTCATATTTGGTAACATCGATTACAAGCCCTAAGATTTGATTTTTGTCTATAGAAGTTAAGTCTAAAAAGAAGTCAATGAAACATATGTTTATCAAGTTTTATATTGATCATTAAATTGATGCATGTTCTTTCTGTTTAACAATTCTATAATATATGTATGATCTTTTTCTTTCAAATTCTTTAATAAATTATATTGTATTATCGAGATTATATTTTATTTCAGTCATATATTATTCTTTACACTTTCTTCTTTCAAGATCAATGTTTTAAATTTCAACTAAAGACACTAGAGAACTTTATTCAAATATTGATTTAATTATCAGGAGGTCCTTGTATTGTTTTTCTATTACTAATTTTCTTCGAGTTAATATTCATCGGTTATTGTCAGTATAGTAAAGAAATATTCTATAAAAAGATCTGTAATGATCTAAATTTACTTGTATAAATTAGATATTGAAAATTCATTTTGATTCTTGTATATTCTTCATTAACTAATTATTGAAAGAATCGAAGAAAATGGCTTACCAGTAAAGAGAGATAAAGCTGTTTCTACGTCAATATTGTATAAACCAAGTCCATATAAAATCGGATAATTTGTAGCAAGAAGAATACGTTTCATAGATGATGATTCAAGATTAAGCCATTTGATATTACAGTGAATTTTAGCTAAGATTTGTAAACAAAATCGATCAAGTACTGGATCAGATAATGGATAGGTGGAATCATATGAGATCCATCTCATCAACGTTAAGCGATTTGTAAAAATTGGATCATGTACAATTGCATGGAGTCGTTTGTTAACCCCTATTAGAGAGTACAATACGTGGAATTCCGCAGTTTTTTCAAAATAATCATGAGAATCTCATCAGGTAAATCATTTAATTCAACCAGTGAATGTTCCATATTTATTTTCACTTATCTATTCTTTTCAATTATAGATATGAATATATATATATATATATATAAGTCGAAGTTGACTTTTCAGTTTCAAAATTAACCATGGTTTATTTTGAAATCAAAGGTATCTAAGGATTCTAAAAAAATTTTCATTAAAATACTATAGAAAACTGTAGGCATAATTACTATTAAAAGAGGAAAATTGGTGCAGTTGTTTCATGTGAATCTCAATGAGGTTAATGTTCGAAGTATATCTATTGATTACGATCTGAAAATCTATGAGTGTTAGATGATCGAAAGCTTAGTTTTATAGTTAAACGTTCTTAGACAATGATCGACGCATCAATTATAACCGATGATTTTGCTTCTACAGATGAAGATTCATTTATCAAGAAGTCAATAGAGACGGGAATCAAGCGAAACCATACGATGATAACAGGTTTTCTGCATACTTTAGACATCTTTATAGTAAAAGTCAGTGACATCAAACAGTTGATGATTATCTCCGAAGGTTCTGAGTACGCTTATCGACTTCGTTAGTCTTACCGTCACATGCCAATTCACCTCGGTTGCATTTATCAATATAAAATACAGAAGCTACTCATTATGAAAAACTATAGTAAATGCGAGAAACAATTGAAAGTTTTGAAAACATGAAGTTTTTGAAAATTGCTTTGAAAATTTCTAATTACCATTTAAAAAATGAACTAACTATATCTTGTTCGTTGATCATTCTATATATAAATCAACATCCCTTTTTTTACATCTTCTGAAAACGAAAAAACTATAAATTTCTATTGTATTTCAATGAAATTTTTTAAGAATCGTTAGATACCTCTGGTTGCAAAATAAACCATGATTAATTTTGAAATTGAATAGTCAACTAGTTCACTTCCAAATTTTAAAGTAAACTAGGATGGATCGCTAGTTCTCCTTTCAATTTTAGAGCCGACTAGTTCGCTTTAAAATTGAAAAGTCAACTAGCTCTATCTTACTTGACTACTCAATCCTAAACTCAACTAGTTGCCTTTTAAAGTCAACTCCGACATATATATGCCAACTTAATATTTGACCGTGTCGTTATTCATCACTAATGAAAACAATGAAGCATTTTTCTATAATCACAATTCACAGAGAATGAAAAAAATAGTATGCACGCTGAGCCCGATGAGTCATTGAATCAATAGCAAATATATACAATTGCGGGCACTGCAGGTCTAGACACTTTTTTCTCAGTTAATATTGAGAATTTTTGATCCAAAAAATTAATAGAAACACTAAGCAGGTGTTCGTTTATCTAGCCCAAGCGCTATTTTGGAGATTTTACTCGAAAAACGTGATATATGCTGTAAAGAGGACGCTACAATCTCGTCATTGATCGCGTTTCGTATCATTACTTGCCACTTTTTTAACAAAATCTGAGAACACAGTTCGATAGAGAATAATTTTCTCTATCAAATGATACCAAACATATATCTAGCCTCTTCCGAAAATCTCAACGACCAACTATCTGTGATTTGCTATTGATTCCCTTTTTTCTTTGTGTTTGTTCGGAACAGCTTCCATACCTTTGCTGGTTCATATGCAGTTTAAGTACACTATCATATTCAATTAGCGTATTGCACACAGCAATCAGAATGACGGTGAGGACGAGAGTGTGTTTAAACTGCAGATGTACCTAAAATAGAATGTCCGTCGCTGTTTTTCCAATAACTCAAGCTAGGAACGAGCTAGAAATCTGCGGTTGTCACCAATCGAAAGAGGAGACAAGAGGACATCTTTTTGTCCGACAGTGTATAAGACGAAGTCATTTTAAAATGAGTCATTTCTACAAAACATTGAAAAAATGTAGAAAAACGGTTCCTCATTAGAATGAAATTTTGACAAAAAGTAAGAAGATTTAATTAAAAATTAAGATAAATCCATATTTTTTGAGCGGGTAAATAGACGATTTTTTTGGTTAACAATAAGACCTGTGGAGATAATCATTAGAACTATATCTTACACTATAGATCTGATGTCCCTCTATCTAGATCACATGTCAAAATCAAAATTTTCATTCGAATGAGGAACCGTTTTTCTACATTTTTTCGAAGTTTTGTAGAAATGACTCATTTTAAAATGACTTTGTCTTATACACTGTCGGACAAAAAGATGTCCCCTCATTTCCTCTTTCGATTGGTGAAAATCGCAGGTGTCTAGCTCGTTCCTAGCTTGAGTTAATGAAAAAATAGCGATGGGCATTCTATTTTGAAACGAATAATAGCTAAAACGATTGGGCCAGTCGATCTTCACCGGTTTAAAGAAATTTTCTAGTAGAAAAATATACTTGTCGTTCCTCTTAAAAGTTCCAAACAAAAAATGAGTTTCACAATATTCTAGAAGTACAACTTTTTCCAAGTAAAGTATGTCGAAAACGAGTTCAAGTTCTTTGATTAAAATAACAGCGTTGTTTGAAAAAACATCAGCTTTTATTTTCTTCTATTTGTCTACACTTTTTTGTTTTATTAATAGAGTTTTATTTCATTCTGTGAGAAAAATACACAATCAAAACTTTGTCACTTGACATAAATAATTCCTTCACATATGTTACGATCGGATTGTTCCCATTCGTTCGTAAGACGGAGAGAAGATATCCTTTCTAGTACAGTGATTAATACGTCTGCCCGGTAAGCAGGAGATACATGGTTCGATTCCATGTGAAGGGGAGATTGTCTTTTTCTCCGTTCTGTTGTATTCCATCGCGCTGCTTAGTCTCGGTCATGCGTCATAACATCAGACTCGTAACAACATATCTCGCTGATATTTTGTTGGACACCATGTTCGTAGTTCTAGCGTCGTTTAAAAAAGATCCATTTTCTATAAAGCCGAAGCGAAAAAGTTCAAAGTTTACAGATTAATTATCAAGTATTAGGTATATAACTTTTTTCACGAAAGAAACATAGTATACTTATCTTTAGAAAAACTTATAGATATAAACAAGTATAGCATGTTACTTCCTCAGGAAGCTTAATCGAAACTCAAGAAAGAATATGAAAAGAGTTTTTTGAAGCATCTACCTTTAGCAGATAATAGAAGGCCTAACGAACCAACTGGCTTTTACCGTTCTCAAACGATTTTCGACCTCTGGACGAAGCGCTTACAACCCTCCTATATCATCTTTGAACAGCCTTGATGATGATTCAATGAATACGCCAGAAACTGTTCTATTATCATTTTTTTAGAATAAACCTGATAAAGAATTTACCAGAAATAACAATTCAACGATTACAAGATTCAGCAACCTCTCTAACAAGTCAGTATTTTTATCAGAGAATCAGAACTATAAAGATGTTCAAAATGAAGTATGTTTAGTACTATTACATTCCTACAAAAGTATCTGACGAATGTTAACAACTTTTTATATAAAAAAAAGCTAGGTAACAGATCTATCTGATCAAAGAAAATAATTTCATACTAGATAAACAACAGTCCCCATAGATGAAAAAAAAACCAGATATATTTAGCTTGAAAAAATAGTTTCATAAGCAAATATTTACTAATTCAGCGGAATAATTAGCAGCACATATGAACATAATGGTTTCGATAGTTTGAAATGCTTCACCTAACGATCACATCAACAAAATAACAAACAGATCTCTATTGTTTGATTAGTTCCATCAGTAGATCTTTTCTAATACAATACAACAATCTACCAAACAGATAAAGTAGAATAGCTTCAATAGTTCAAAAGACTCTGCTTAACAAAAACAGATGGAAAATAACAAATATATTTTTGTTAAAGAAATATTTTCAAAAGTGAGATTCATCTTATCTAGCGGAACAATCTATTGAAGGAAGAAAAGAAAAATGTTCCGATAGTTTCGAAACGACGGTAGAAGTACTAAAAGAAAGGTTCGTGTCCTATGGTGGTCATATGATATGTTTCGCTAACTATAAATGATTTTATGTCACTCGCTACATTCTGTGAAAACATTTTCCAACTGAATAAAACATTTATCAAATCAATTGACTAATAGTAAACAGTTATACATACATGAAAAATCTAATATCAGCACCATTTCAATCACATTGTTTATTGCCGTCTACAATTCAAATGAACATCAAACAAATGAAAACGAGATTATCTATGTATATATACTTTTATAAAACGAAGGACAATCATTCGAAGATTTGAATTTTGATTCGAAGCATGGCACAACCATATGCACATATTCATCAAACATAGACGTGCGTGATGTTATTGCACAAAAACTCGATGGATATGGAAATATATAATAGAGTACGTAGAGACATCAAAACAAGAAACTTAAAGTTAAATTCTAATAATCTTTACTCTAAGATAAGAATAAGTATGCTTTATAAAAAAATCTTTGTTTCCAAAAAGAAGAATCTATGACATGAAACAAAGAAAAATTTATTGAAGAAGGATTTTCATATTTATTGAAACTTGGAATGGCTGACTTTAAACAAACTACTGCAAAGATTTGTTAGATTGCACATTCAGTTGATAAAATACCAACACAAGGGATTAGCTTATGGTATTTATTTCTCACTTTTACTATTATTTAAGAAAAATATTACTCTTCTCAGCATATTTCTTCACATACCTGCAAATGTGTGTTCATACATATCACTGAAAAGCAATAATAAATGAAACAATTCCATCTATAAATAATAAAAAAATACTTTTCAAATCGAAAATGAATATCAATAAACATACATTCGAAGCACAATCATAACTCGTTCAGTTAAAAAAACCTTTTCCATACCAAAACAAATAGAAATATGCAATAAATATAACCAAAACCAAATAAATTAATTTTTGTTGTTCCACCAAAATAT